AGGATATCAACAACAGTGCAAGGAATCAAGCCAGAAGCTGAGGACAGCTTCACTCCTAAGGGGGAGGCAGTGTTGCATCGGATCAGGGCGCAGACATATTGGACCACCTGGCCACAGCCAATCCTGTGTCTCTCTGTGTTCCAGTGGCATACGAGAAAGATAAGCAGCCGAACAGAGAAGGACACGACTGAGTTGCAGTATATAATGAGCGGCGTGGCCAGCGTGGTGGACTCGGATGGAAGGCGCCTGACGCGTGGCTCTGGCTTCTGATTGGTCAATACAGCCTGTTCTGTAGTACCTGTCTGTTTCCTATTAGGGCTCGGGTATTCTACAGTGTAGTGTGGCGACGGATCGGGGCGCAGACATATTGAGCACTTGCCTCAGCCAATTCTGTATGGCATGCGAGGAAGAGATGTAGCCAACCAGAGAAAGACACGAATCATGATGTGTACATATTGAGCAGCGTGGCCAGAGTCGTAGACTGGGATGTAAGGCACCTGACGTGTGGCTTTGGCTTGTGATTGATCAATTTAGCCTGTTCTGTTGTAAAAATCTTCTCCATGCTAGGGCTCGGGTATTCTACAGCAGTATGGTGTAGTGTGGTGTGGTGTGGCGACATCTGAATACGTAGACATATTGGACCACCTGGCCTCAGGCAATCCTGTGTCTGTCTGCGATCGAATCGCATGCGAGGAAGAGATGTAGCCAAAGAGACACGAATGAGGAGCAGTATATATTGAGCGGCGTAGCCAGCGTCGTGGACTCGGATGGAAGGCACCTGATGTACGGCTCTGGCTTGTAAATGATCAGTAAAGCCTGTTCTGTTGTACCAATCTTCCCTATACTAGGGCTCGGGTATTCTGAGGCCGCAGACATGTTGGACATTAGCCTCAGCCAATTCCGTGTCTCTATGCGTTCGATTGGCACCCGAGGAAGATAAGCAGACAACTAGAGTACGACACAAATGAGGTGCAATATATGCAGGGCAGCGTGGCGGACGCGGCTGAACGGTTCCTGACGTGTGGTTGTGGTTTGTGCAATCTACATGAGTTGTAGTGTAGCGAAATAGCATATAGCCGCTAACTTTGTGCCCAGTCATGGGTCGGGGCATGGTGGCGAAGCCATGTGAACGGGAGTGAGAATTTCGGCCGAGCGAGCACACGCGGGCATTGCATGACGCGCCGAAGACTGAGAGCAAATAGTCTTACGAGATTTTTGCAGCAATTTCAGTTCCGCGAAACGGACAAACGGAAGAACAAAACGACCAGAAAGAGAATATTAAAGAAAACTGTTTTCCCCACATGACCAAACAGAATGTGGCCGTTATGACTAAATATAAAATCCGCCACGAATTAGAGTAGAACTACTCATGGGCCCGAAGGATATTCGTTATATAAAACAGGAGAAAGGCAAACATAACGAATCCAAGCTAATCTAAGCTTATAAATTCCTGTGTTCGAATGGCCAAAGAAGAACATATCCAGATAAGAAGACTGCAAAGGAGTAATCCAGTTGACACGCCGCAAAAGAACAATGGCAAATATAGAACGTAATAGCAAAAAATGAAACAAACAACGAAAACAAAGAACTCAAAAATAAACACGAAAAAAGACAAAAAAAATAGTTTAAAAAGGAGTCAGAATCAAAAAAAAAAAACTAGAAAAATAGAAACAAAAATGAAGCATAAAAGCAACAGAAAAAAATATGAGAAACTGAACAAAAAAAGAAATAAAAACTGTTTTAAAATCATGGAAAATCTACCTGGCCTCACAACATAAAACTCAACCGATAAGCTACATTCACTCCAATCGGCTATCCTATCCACAGCACCATGCACTACCACTAGTGTGCACGCTCGTCAAAGCCATCAACGTTTGTTTTCGCCTTG